CGCGATTGTGCTCTAGATCGTTGTGGATCGAGCCCTCCTTTGCATTCGAGTCCTGACCGAACTGATCTGGATCTTAAGCTCGAGCTGCCTGAGCACATTGTAGCTGCCACAGAGCTAACTGACAGGGGGGCATGGCAGGAGAACGCGCCGCGGAACGTTCCAAGGGACGCGCCAAGCGACGTGCCAGGGGACGTGCTATGGGGACCCACCGCAGGACGTGCCAAGGGGACGCGCTACGGAACGTGCCAGTGGACGGGCCGCGGGACGTGCCAGGGGACTCGCCGCGCGACGTGCCAGGGGGACTCGCCACGGGGCGCGCCACAGAACGTGCCAAGGAACGTGCAAAGTTGCAATGCTGAGTATATCGATCTTGATGTACCGTGCCGAAGGCTGTGCTGCTGTGCGCCGTCCGCGCTGAATTGCGATGTGCCATGCCGCGATTGTACTCTATAGCGTTGTGGATCGAGTCCTCCTTTGCATCCGAGTCCTGACCGAACTGATCTGGATCTTAAGCTCGAGCTGCCTGAGCACATTGTAGCTGCCCCAGAGCTAATTGACACGGGGACATGCCAGGAGGACGCGCCGCGCAACGTCCCCAGGGACGCGCCAGGCGACGTGCCAAGGGACGTGCTATGGGGACCCACCGCGGGACGTGCCAAGGGGACGCGCTACGGAACGTGCCAATGGACGTGCCACGGGATGTGCCAGGGGACGCGCCGGACAACGTTCAACGTGCCAGGGGGACTCGCCAGGGGACGCGCCACGGAACGTGCCAGGTTGCATTGCTGAGTGTATCGATCTCGATGTACCTTGCCGAGGGCTGTGCCGTGCCTGGGGGACCTGGACACGTGACAACAAGCGTTTCGCTCAAGACATTCTCGACACATCCTCATGCTAGACATCCGCTTGGGCAACCTCGACACGTGCAAAGAAGCGTCTCGCTCGAGACATCCTCAACAAGTCCTCATGATAGACATCTGCCTGGGCAACCTGGACGCGTGAAACCAAGCGTCTCGCTCGAGACATCCTCAAGACCTGGGCACGTGAAAACAAGCATCTCACTTGAGAGACCCTCTGAATTCTGGCCCCCAGGAGGGGACAATCTAGAACACAAAACATGCGTTTCGCTCGAGACATCCTCACTAACTTCTGCAAACTAAGCGTTTCGCTCGGGACATCCTCAAATCTTATTTCCCCGGCCGTCTTTGACCTCGTCATTTATCGCAGAAGAAATTAGCCGGCCCTCAGCGAACTTGGCACCGGGGACAGGTTTCAAACATCCCAAGAAGGCCCCCCCCCCCTGGGATTTTGGACCCCAGAGCAGGGGGATTGGGAGGGGGAGGGTAGGAGCTCGTCAACGCAGCTCTGAGGCCCTCCCGAACCTGCAGATCCACCCTCCATGGCCTCCGAGATGCCCCAAACTGCTGTCTAAGGTGACTCGAGAAGAACTCAAACACACAAGAGAATGCTCCGGAGTATCCAGTACGGCCTGAGACGGCCCGGAGCCAAGAGGTCCCGAAGATGGCCCAAGAGAACCCCAAAGGGGTCCATAAGAAGACCTCAATAAACAAAACAACGTACGCTCGCATTACAGCATTTTCGAAATTTTGGATTCTGAAAACCCAAGGAGGCCCGAGAAACCTCCCAGAATGGCCCAAGACATTCCCGAAGTGGCCCCAGAGATGGCCGTGAGACGGCCAAAGAGGGCCCCAAGACTGCCCAAGAGGCCCCAAAGAGGGCCCAGAAGGTCTCAACCGGTTCCCACGAGGGGGGGAACTCGTACGTGCCTGGGGAGCCCTCTCCCATAAGATACTCAAGATGCCTCCAAGATTCCCCGCAACAGAATCAAAGTAAGAAGAGGACGAATCAACAACGACTACACGCAGGCAGCACGACGGGAAACGACAACCAATATATTTACGACATCGGAAGCCACGCATCTCCTCCGGCAGTCGGCGGAATGGCGCAAGCATCTTGAGCAACATAAGCCACAGCGCAGAGACACCCAAACAGACCTCTCAGACACTCGCAGGAGCTCTCTGGCGGGGATCGCTCGAAGCCAAGCAATGTATCGCTTCTTACGACTTTCGGCCTCGCGGGACCTTCTGAAGACCTCTGGGCAACTCTGGGGACCGCTGGGGATCTCTAGGCACTCCCTGGGAGACGAGGAGGCAGGAGGAAGCAAAGAGGGCTGGAGGAGGACGAGCAGGAGCGTCCTATAACAAGGGATGTGGAGGGAGGAGGGACGCGGACCAGCGGGCAACACGATGACGGTGCTGAGCGCGAGGGGGACATCGCAGCAACAACTGCCAAGAGCTGCTGACCGGGCACAGACCGCGCTCCGCCGCCGCCGCCTGCTCGCCCGGCGAGGCTCTGCGATCACCGCTGGCGCTTCCCGTCCCGCTCGCGCCTCGCGCTGCGGCTCCGCCGGTCCCGCTCGCGCCTCGCGCTGCGGCTCCGCCGGCGCCGCCCGCGCCCAGAGCTGCGGCTGCGGCTCCGGCCCCGCGCGCCCCGCCGCCCCCTGTCGCCCCCCGCCCGCGGCGGCGCCGGGTCTGGCCCTGGGCTGCTGCCAGCGGCCTCGCGCCCCCTCCTCGTCCCGCCCCTCTTCTCGCCTGCCCGCGGCGCCGGGTCTGGCTCCGGGCTGCTGTCGACGGCCTCGCGCCCCCTCCTCACCCCGCCCTTCTTCTCGCCTGCCCGCGGCGCCGGGGCTGGCTCCGGGCTGCTGTCGACGGCCACCGGCGCGGGAGCCGCGGGCCCCGTGAAGGCAAAGGCGGGGGCCTCCTTCGGCCGGCGCTCCACGGCGCGGCGCTCCTTGCGGGAGCCCCACTTGCCTTCCAGCGAGGCGAAGAACTTCTCGGCGTCGTCGCCGTCGTCGTCTCCGCCGTCTCCGCCGATGCCGTGCTGCTCGGCGGATGGCGGCGCAGCATGACGGGAGGCTGTGGCTTTCTTGGCGCCTGTAGGCCGCAACGGGTTGTTCGGGCCCAGGATGTTTGCAAACGGCACGGCCTGGCATGCCGCCTTCTGGTCGTTGGCGAAGACCACGAGCACCGCTTGCTTGGACTGCGAGATGCCCCGCACTACCACGTCCAACGTCTTCCCAGTGCTCCGGGAGACGTACCCCAACTTGGCGCTGGGTCTTACCCACTCGGGCAATTCGGTGCCTGGCAATTCCGTCATGTGCCTGGCTCTTTGGTAACGAACCAGCGGCCGCGGCCACGCGTCATGCCTGGGACTATGTGTCGACAGCTTTGTGCTTGAATGGCTAAGGAATCAACGAAGAACACGCCAATCAACGCTGGATTGAATAAACCTATCTTGCTATATACTATACATATCTTAATTGCAGTAAGCTAAAACTTGGCGACGGTGCCGCCCAACAAACACCCTGGAAGCGACGTGCTGATATTGATATTTATGTTGGCGACGGCGCATTTGGTGAACCGCTGATGTCGAAAATCAATCTAACACATTAATCTGGCGGGACAGTTCAAACACATCTTTATTCCTGGCGTTTCAGGGCGCATATGGGAATAAGGGGAAGCGGGGCAAATCGGATTGCCGGGGCGACGCCCCCGCGACCCCCCTGGCGCTCCGCGCTCCAGGACTAGTCCCTGTGCGCTCGGGGCCGCGCTCGGCGCGTCCTGCAGCCCTGGACTGGACAGAGACCGTGCTCAGGGACCACCCCCTGCGCACCCCCTGTGGGTCGAGAATGCCACGCCTGACGCTGCCTCCGCACAGAGTGGATCGAGACTCCCGCGCAGGTCGTCCGAAATCCGCTCAATCACTGTTACGGCTTCACTCTTGCGTCCCAGCCAACACGGTGACTGTCTATTGCGGAACATGCAACAAAACTCTCCACGCGGGTACGCGCGCACGTGTGGAAAAGCCTGTACCGTCCACACTTGACAAATCGGTCGGGTCACCCGAAATCCGCTCGGTCACCGTTGAGAGCCCGTTTTGGTTTCCAAGCCAACAGGGTGACTTTTGGGAACAAAATGGAACTCTCCACGTGTGTATGCACGCGCGTGGAAAATTCTGACGTGTTCGCACTAGACCAGTCGTGCGGGTCACCCGAAACGCCTCTGAAAGGTCCATTTTGGTTTCCATGCAAGCAGGGTGACTTGGTACTCTCGACATTACAGCACTGACCACGCCGGTACGCGCGCGCGTGGAATGGTCTGTATTGTCCGCACTCAATCTGTAAGGCGGGTCACCCGACATCCGCTCGGCCACCGCTGAGGTTCATTTTCGCTTCCTCGCCAGAAACGTGCTCTCAATTGTGGGCAATGCACGCAGGTACGTGCGCGCGCGTGGAGAATACTGAAATCCGCATGGTCACATTCAAATATTCATTTTAGTTTCCAGAGCCAACAAGGTCACGTTCAACCGTGGACACCGCAAAACCCTCCACGCTGATACGCGCGCGTACGTGAAGTCATTGTCCACACCGACAGACGGGCCGCGTCAACTGAACTCCTCTAGACCACCGTTAAAGGGGCTCTTTCGTTTCCAAGCCCGCAAACTTGTTGTGTGGTCTCGCCAACTACAAAATACTCCGCGCGGGTATGCGCGCGCGTGGAAATTTCTGCATCGTCCACACTAGACCAATCGGGCGGGTGGCACGAATCCGCTTGGCCACGGTTAGTTGTTCATTTCAATTGCCAAGCCAACACAATGATTTTCTCTTGTGGACAACACAGATCGCTCCACGCGGGTGCGCGCGTGGAGAATTCTGAAATGTCTACTGTCGACGAGTCGGGTGGGTCACCCGAAATCCGCTCGGCCACCGCTAGAGGCTCATTTTGGTTTCCAAGCCAACGGGGCGATATGCTGTTGTGGATGATGCGGACCTCTCCTCGCGGGTACGCGCGCTTTGAAACTGTTGTAGTTTCCGCACTAGACGAGTCGGGCGGATCACCCGAAAACAGCTCGGCCACCCCACAGGGTTGCTTTTTGTTTCCAAGCCAACAGGGTGATTGTTCAGTTTGGACAGTACAGGACTCTACACGCGGGTGCGCGCGCGCATGGACAACTGTGTAGTCCACATTCGACAAGTCGGGCGGGACTCCCCCAATCCGCTAGGTCACCGTGTGCGCGTGGATAACTTTGAATTATCCACACTCGACAAGTCGGGCGGGTCACCCGGACTCCGCTCAGTCAGTATTGAAGTTCTGTTTTAGGTTCCAAGCCAACGGCTTGACAATTCACAACAGTCCACGCGAATACGCGCGCGTGCGTGGAGAGTTCTGTAGTCCACACTGGACAAGTTGGGCGGGTCACCCGAAATCCGTCCGGCCACCATCAGACTAGCCAACAAGGTGACTTTCAATGGTGGACAATCCAAAACTCTCCACGAGGGTGCGCGCGCGTGTGGGGGGCTTGATATTGTCCACATTGGGCAAAAAGGACGGGTCACCCGAAACCCACTCGGTCACTGTTGATAAAGTTGTTAAGCCAACAAAGTGATTTTCTGATGTTGGCAATACAACGTCTTCACGCGGGGACGCTCTCGCGCGTGGACAGTTAGTTCTCTGTAGTCCACACTAGACCAATCGAGCGGGTCACCCGAAATCAGCTCGGTCACCGTTGAGGGTTCACTTTAGTTTCCAAGCCAGCCAGGTGACTTTCAATTGTGGGCAATACAGAGCTCTCCACGCGGGCATGCGCGCGCGTGAGTTCTCTGTTGTCCACGCTCGACCAAGTCGGGCGGGTCACATGAAATCTGCTCGGCCACCGTGAAGGATTCACTGTAGCTTCCAAGCCAACAAGATGACCTCCACTCTGGACAATTCAACTCTCCACGCGGGGACCCGCGCGTGCGTGGAGAGTTCCGTGTTGTTTCCACTATACAAAAAATCGGGCGGGTCACGTGAAATCCGCGCGCCCACCTGGCTCTGACCGTCTTGGGGCATTCTTTGGGGCCTGCTGGGGCCATCTTGGGGCCCACTTGGGGCTCTCTCGGGAACCTCTGTGGGCCTTCTTTAGGCCGTCTTGGAGCTCCCCAGGGCCGCCCGGGGGCTCTCGTCGGGCGTCTTGGGGGCCCTCTTGGGGGCCTCTGGGGTCTCGGGATGACCTGGGCAGCCTCTTCGGACGTGCTGGGCGAGAATCCAAAACACCTGCAGAAGCCTAGGGAACATCACTGTTCTTGGCCTCATCGGGGTGCTGTTGGGGCCCAGCTGGGCCCTCTTGGAGCCGCCCGGGGCCGTCCACGGGGCCCCATTTAGGGCTCTTTCGGGGCCCCCCTTCGTCCCAACTCAACGTCATCACTCGTACCTCGCTCTTTCCGCCACCCCTCCCTAGAAGCTTTCGCTCCACCAAAATGTCATCACTCGTACCTCGCTCTTTCCATCACCTGGGCCGGCACGAGAACGGAAAGAGCGCTTCGAGAACTTGCCTGAGATGGCTCATGCCACCGTTCGCTCTTGGGAACCTTGGTGTTAGAAGCTTTTTATGTTACCGCTCTCTTGGGTCCACTTCGAGGCCTCCTACGCCCCTCTTGGCATTTCCTGGGAGCCTCTTGGGAACCTCTGGGGCCGTCTTGCGGCAGTCGCGGGGGCCCTCGGAGCCGTCTTCGGCCGATCATGGACGGAAGCGGCGAACAATCAAAAAACATTAGAAAACCAATGGCAACTAACTCGTCGTGTTTTGCCTCCTCGGGCCTCCTGAGGTGTCCGCTGGGGAGGCGCGTGGATCGTCTCGGGAGCCTCTTGGGCATGCCCCCCTACAGGCGGATGTTTGCCAAAAATAGAAAATACCGCCCAACATACCTGACTATACTCAACAAATAATAGAACAATCGTCCCCGGACTATTGCTTCATTCCTTTAGAATCCTCCTCCTGTAGAGGGACACGCCCGACTTACCTCTTGTGCCGTCTTTGGGAGCTTGGGCCTTCTTGGGGCCCTCTCGGGGCTCTCTTCGGCCCTCGTGGCGGCCTCCCGTGGCCCTCTGGGCGCTCTCCCGCGAGCCTCTGGGTGGTCCCTCTTGGAGCCCCTCTTGGGCCGTCTTGGGGCTCTCTCGAGCCGTCCTGGAGTCCTCTTGGGAGCCTCTGGGCAATCTTGGAGCGATCCTCGGGGCCTCCTAGGACGTCTTGGGGCCGTTCTTGGCCCGAACAAGCGCGAGCCCTAAACACCGTCAAAACCTACAGAAAGCCCGAGGCCATCTTCGATCACTCTTGGGCAAACTTAAGCTCTCTTGGAGCGCTCTTGAGCCTTCTTGGAAACCTCTTGGACCTCCCTCGAGGGTATCTTGGGGGTATCTGAGACCGTCTTGGGCGCCTCTTGGGCCGTCCTAGGGCGGGGAGAGCGAATTAACATAGCTCTTTCCATCACCTGGGCCGGCACGGGAACGGAAAGAGCGCTTCAGAAACTTGCCCGAAATGCCTCATGGCACGGTTCGCTCTGGGAGCCTTGGTGTTTGGAGTTTTATCAGCGCCGCTCGCTTGCGCCCTAGTCGCCCACATCCCCCCGGCGGACGTCTTGGGGTTTCCAGGGTGCCGCGCTGTTACGGCAAGTTCGCGTCGTGTCGACCCTGGCGTTGGTTCCTGACACCGCGGGGATCGTTCAACCTTGAACGATCGGCTGTTTCTGAAACGTCCGATCGTTCAACGTCGACCAATTCTAGGTCGCCAACAACATTCAATGTTGAACGCCAGCGGCAATGTCGCCGCTGGTCGGCACGATGCTAAACTGCCGCGCACTGGCGGCGATAGCAGGAACGGATGACTTCTACAGCGCGGGGGGGCCCTTCCCGCTCCCGCGCCGCCAATGCCGTTGGTTGGATGTGACCTGGGCAATGTCGGAGAACATCCTCCTCCTCCTCCTCCTCCTCCTCTTCTCTTCCTCCTCCTCCTCCTCCTCCTCCTCTTCTCTTCCTCCTCCTCGTCCTCCTCCTCCTGCCTCTCTCCTCGCCTCCCCTCCTCCCCGCCCTCCTCTCCGTGCCTCCCTCCGGGCATGCTCACCACGAGTGTGGCTCTCCTCGCTCCTCGGATCTCGAGCACGTGCCCGCGGCGTGCTCCTGCGGGTCTGCAGGAGCAGCATCCCGCGGGGCACGTGCACGGAGGCTGCCCCTGCGCGTGCCCCCGCCCGTCTGCTCCCGATCGGCTGTGGAGGCCTCCAGATTGCTCCGAGATCGCGCAGAGCCCCGAGAGGGGCCCAGGATGGCCCCCATGCGACCCTAAAAGCGTCCAAGAGTGCATCGAATGCGCCCCAAGATGGCTCCATAACGCGACTTGCCAGGATGAGACAAGGCGAGACGAACTAGGGCCCCATTTGTTTGACCGATGTCCTCAACCATTGCCCCGAGGATCTCCCAAAAGCTAAGGGCGCCCCATGAGTCATGAGGGCACCAACATAGCTTCAACAAATTCTCAGGAAACTTCCAGGAAGAAGATTTGCGAAGGCCTTTGATGGTTGACTCGTGTCCTCGTCGTCGTCGTCGTCGTTGTCGTCGTGGTCGTCGTCGCTGTCGTCCCCAATTATCCTCCTCGTCGTCTCTATCCCACCTCCGTATCCTCTTCTTCCACTTCCTCGTCCCTGCCCTCATTCTCCTCCTACCTAGGGTTCTCCTGGGATCCCTCCTTCTGCTCGCCCTCCTCCTGCTCAGCCTCTTGCACCGCGGCCTCTTCCCCCTCTTCCTCCTCCATACTCCCTCATGTTCATCCTCCGCTTCAGCCTCCGTCCTTGTCCTCCAACTCCTGCTTCGAAAAATGCTAACGGCACCCCTATCTGTTCTGCTGTATGTTCCTACACTTCTCTGATCAGGGCAACTCGCCTGGGCATAGTTACTGGATGGGCTGGCGGGCATCCGCCAAGCGAAAATAATATCAGACAGGACCCAAGAGGCTCCCAAGAGACGCCGAAGAATGCTCAAGAAGCATGCAAGACCCTTCAAGAGGGAGGGAGAGGAAAAGGATGATGAATGCGAACGGAGGAGGAGCAAGAGGAGAACGAGGCTAAGGACAACTGAGGGGGTGTTCTGCACTTATGTTGCTCCCATCGTACTTAAGGACCACATCCCAGAAATAATTTCGAGCACCCAGGGAAGTGTCGAAAGAGTGTCGGACGAGTGTCGCAACAATGTCGGGCGAGTGTCTCCCAGAGCCCGACACGTAAAAACTCTCGAGTTCCGGTACTTTTTGCTGGTACTCGAAATTCTTTCGGGTGATCAAGGCTAAAGTAGGTTGGAACATCATAATTCTACACCCGAGTTGGCTCAAAGAAACACTGAAATGGCAGAAACTTTCAACTCCTCCTCCTCCTCCTCCTCCTCCTCCTCCTCCTCCTCCTCCTCACTGCTGAGCTGCTGCGCTGCTGCGTTGGCACGGTGGCACGGTGGCGGGCTTTGCCACAAGGACTTTTGAAAGTGAGGCGCTGGGGCGCCGAAAAGATTGGTGGCGATAATCGTAGCGAACCGCTAGCGAGCCCTACCCCTGCAAGTCAGATATTCGAAAACCCGACCGGGGGTCAGAACTTGAACGAATCTGCAGCCGAGCGAACTCCTACGGGAGGACCAAAAAGGTACCGATGCTGCTACTTCCAGGACCTCTCCAGGCGTGCGTTCCGACTAGAGTTTCGGGGCGAATCTGGCTGTGGCGACGAGAGAAGTGTCGCGGCATCGGCTGATGTTCTTCCTCTGAGGTTGGACCCGTCGGAGTAGGGCTCGCAAGGGGTCGCCTAAACCATGAGCGGCGGAGGCACGCAATCGTCCTGCGGCCCGCGAGGGCTCAGCGGGCGAAGCCGTCCTGGCCGTCCGCCTTCATCTCGGCGCCTGCGTAGACGTAGCCCGGCACGGTCGCGTAGACCACCTTCCGGCGGCGAGCACGGGGGGGAAAATCGAAGGGGCGGGTCTTCTCAGCAGGCTCATGAGTCCCCGGGAGAATTTTTCTGCGCCTTCAATCCCCGGAGACGCAGAACACCTCTCCGAAGGCTGGAGGGCTTCTGAGAAGTCCCGCCGCCTCCTGAGAAGGTCTTCTCCTTCTCACTTCCCTTCCTCGCTTGCCGCCGAACCTCGATGGGCGGCTCCACGGCGTCCGCCTTCCTCCCCAGCTTCTCCAGGGCGAGCGCGGTGGACTTCGAGAAGCGCGGGTCGGCCACCTCGTCGTCGAGCAGGTCCATGATCTTGCCGAAGTCCTTTCTGAGCGGGAGACGGGGGAGGGGGAGGAGGAGGCGGGAAAGAGGAGGAGGAGGAGGAGGAGGAGGAGGAGGAGGAGGAGGAGGGAAGGAGGAGGAGGGGGGCCGACCCTTCCCACATTCCTATGGGCCGACCACGGAGTGTTTGTTCTCAGAGCTCTAGCGTGGCTGCAGGCGCGAGCCCCAAGCTGTGAACTACTTTGCACTGTGGATGTGCCGCCTGCGCGGTGCAGTCGATGTGGTGTGCACTCTGTGCGGTGCGAGCTGTGGGGTGATCGGCTGTGTGTCGTGAGCGTTGTGCTGTCGGCAAATGTGGTGCAAGCTGTGCGGTGTGAGTCGTGTGTGGGGCGCAGGCTGCGCGCCGCAAGTAAGCTCCGTGCTGCAGGCCGTCTGGTCGGAGCTGTGCGGTGCAGCCCATGCGGGGCGACCTGTGTGGTGTGAGCTGTGGGGCGCGTCAGCCAGTCGGTGCAAGCTGTGTGGCGTAAGCCACGTGGCGCCCGCGAGGCGCCCGCGAGGCGCCCACGGTGGCCCACCATCCGAAACCTCGGCACGCCCGCCCGGCGCACGGGGCGTTCACGAGGCGCCCACGGCCGCCGACCAGGCGAGCCCGCGCCCGCGGTCGCCCCCCAGGCGGAGCATCGCCACACCAAGCCAGCGCACGAGGCGCCCACGGCCACCCTGCGCACATGGCGCCCACGAGGCGCCCACGGCCGACCTCCAGGCGAAACCACAACGCGCCGAGTCAGCGCACGGGGCGCCCACGAGCAGCCCACGGCCGCCCACCAGGCGAAACCTCAACACACCCAACAAACCCGAGTAACTATCCCTATAGTGCAAGCGCTGTTTGGGGACTTCGAGCAACAGGTTTGCTTACAGCATGAGACAGAGTGTCTAACACATCACAGTATCAGCCAGGACTGTTCTAAGGATAGGTTCTGCCAACCACTCAGGATTGTTATACAGTTTGTTGGTGGGCCTATATGCGGACCAAGACGCTTCGTCACTGCTCGAGTCCTCCGTCAACACCTCCGCGCCAGCGATGGACTTCACCACCATGCCGCCCGACACGCCGGCGGAGAACGCCTGGCCCTGGGGGTCCCCAGGGTACCGGGACACCGGGATCACCTCCATGGCCATCGCGCCCTTCATGCCGTTGCCCGGCTGGTAGCGCAGGATGCCGAAGGGGCGCTTCTTGTAGGTGACGGTGGGGCCCGGGCCAGTGGCGGCCGAGGCGTCGAACGCCACATCCGCGTCCTTCGGGCCGCAGCGCTCCAGGTACTCCGCGCTCACGCGCGCGGCCACGCGCTCGCCGCGCTGGCAGCTGGGCGCGGGCGAGCCCACGAAGCCGGCGCCCCTGCGGCACAGGGCCACGACCGCGGCCGCCAGCAGGCACGTCAGGATGGGCCGCTGGGGCGCCATGGCGGCAAAGCTCGGCGCGGGCCGCGGGGCGGGCGGGAGCCTCCAGTCGGTTGAAAAAAGCCCAAGCCAAAAACTGAGAGGGACGAGAGAGGCCGAAGAGGGGGGAGATGGGGGGCGGGCAGGGAGCAGGAGGAAGAGGACTGGGGAGCAGGAGGTGAGGGAGGTGGGGGGCGCCAGCACCTTGCCAGTCGCAGGGGCTGCGGGCGAGGGTGGGAGAAGGGAGGGACGGGGCTGGGGCGTAGGATCGGAGCACACAGTCAAACCCTGGCAATAAGGAACATCAGAGAAAGAACGGAGTCCCCTTTTGGTACCAGAAAGCCCGGGTGCACGAGGGAGGGCTGCAATACCAAGCGCGGAATGAGCTAGGGAACAGCGGAGCCCTTCCGAACCCATGGCGGCCCAGATTTCAGCATCTTGGCTGTACAGTCAAGGCGCATAAAAAGATGCGTGGTAAGGACAACGGCGTTGGGGGGCCAGGTTGAAGTTTTTCGAACGGGGCAAGGATGGGCCGAGGGAGCAAGGATGGACCGAAAGATGATGAGCATTGGACGACAGCGTGCGGACCAAATTGCTGACCAGCGTCGGAACTGACGGGAAGGAGGAAATATTGATAGATGTTGCATTACCGAATGCACAGTGGCACGCCAGCGTTTACCTTGGTCTCCTCCCGCACCTCCTCTCCTCCTCTCCTCCCCTCCTCTTCCTTCTCCTCCTCCTGCTCCTCCGCCTTTGAAAACTATTCCCGGACCAGGGAGGTTCACGACGTTTGCGAAAGTGAAGCAAGGGGGATGGAGGCGCATGCGGGGAGAAGTCTCCAGCACATGGTAGCGCGAGCCGCAGCTGGATCAGACCAAAACTGAGAAAGAACACCCTGGCAAATATCCCGGAGTGACAATGGAACGGTCGACGATTACCACACGCGAATCGGCACGACTTCTGTGGGCTCGTGGGACCCTCGGACTTGAGCCGGAAGCTGCGAGCGGCCTCTTGCGAACCACATGTTTGGGCCCCTTGGGCCCTCACGGCCTCGTGATGGGGTGCCGCAGAGGCCACCTGGACCCGCCTGGACAACCTGGGGTTCACTTGGGCCAGGGCCACTGCTGGCAGTGCCCAGCACGACCCTTATACCCCAATGCCGCCTGGATGGGGCACGTAGGCCGTCCTCCTCCTCTCCCTTCTCCTCCTCCTCCTCCTCCCCCTTCTCCTCCTCCACCTCCTCCTCCTCCTCCTCGCCCTCTTGCCTCTCCATAATTTTCCTCGTCGTCCTCCGCCTCCGCTTCCTCCTCCTCCTTCTCCACAGATTTTGCTCCTCCTCCTACTCCTCCACAGATTTTCCCGAAACCTTCGGGCCCCCCGGCACCGCTCGTCGCTGCTCGCCGACAGCTGGCGCTGCGCCGCTCGCCGCTGCTCGTCGCTGTCGCCGCCTCTCGCTGCCCTTAGACGAAGACAGGACGAGGATGAATTCGGATGCAGACGAATCGGTGATCCCTGAAATCTGGCAGTCCTGGCATCCCTCAGGTCTGGCGTCGCAGAACGCTGCGGCATCGCCAAACAATGTTTCTGCGTCATCCCTCGAGCCGCATCGACCTGTGAGGGCCCCCGGGGCCCGAGACCGGGCCACGAGCACGGCCGTGGTGAAAGACAGGAAGACATGCCGTGCGACGCCCGGATCTCGGGGCATCGGGCGCCGCGGGCGTTCTCAGAGCGGGCCCGAGCGCCGAGCTTTTCCGTCGCCCCGCGCCGCTCGCCGGCAGCTCGCCAGCGGCTCGCCCGCCGCCCTTTAGGCGGGGGCTCCGCGCGCGGCGCGCGTAAAGCCCTGCGGATCTGCGCTTCGTGGCAGCCCTCTGGGCCCGCGGCCCTCGGCTGGGGGAGGCGGTCTCTGTCAAGATTTTTAGGTCGGGCATGTCCTCCTCCAGGCGGATATTGGAAGAACAGAAATGAAACATAGTGAACAAAATGTGCAAGAATAGTCGAGAACATAGTCAAAGCATCGTCCCCAGACCATTTTTCACTATCTCCTGTAGAGGGACCCCCCTCCCTGGCACGCGGAGCGCGCCAGGGGCGGCACCAGAGGCGCCGCCAGGGGGGCCCAGCGCGGATCCAAGAAACCCGCGCGGAGCGCCAAAAGTTTATGTTTATGTATTTTTCTTCTTCGACTTGAGTCAAGATGTGCCAGGTGCGCCAAGCTCCAGGACGGAGAAGTTGCCCTGGCTCTCCTCGAGTGCGCCAGATCAGCGGTGCAACTCGTTCGCCCGTGCGGGGGGCCCAGGAGGCACTCCTTCGGCACGCAGAGCGGAGGCATCCCTGCGGCGAGGAGCGCCCCGCGGGGGGAGGGGAGGAGGGACGAGAAGTGGGAGCCAGGGGCATTTTTTGTTATTGTTTGTTGTGTGTGTGTGTGTGTGTGTGTGTCTGTGTGTGTGTGTTTGTTCAAAAACATAATAGAATGAGGACTCGATACCACAAGAAGGTTGGGACCAAATTTGGCCATAGTTGAACCGCGCGTTGCGTTGCAAGAAACATGTTGCGACCGATAAAACAGAAACCTCGTGTCCGTCACGCAGGTGACATCACGCACCGTGGCGGCGCGTGGGGTCAAAGGGGGGCAGCGCGCTGAGCGCCCGCGGTCTGCAAACATCCCTGGCGGTGGGCCTGGAAGAGCAGACAAAATGCCCCACAAATAGCGGGACATGCTTTGAAGCCGTGGCGGACTTTGTTGTAGCCCCTGCGGATTTGCGTAGCCCCGATCATAGCCATCAACAGTCACACACTTGGAGCCCCCAGGCGGCTAACACAATTATCCTGGCGACGGGCCCATCCATATGTAGCTGTGAATGACGCAGTTGTGAATACCGTCTTCGGTGGAGCTCCCTATGGGGCCACGAAGTGTGAGTGTTGCGCCGAAATGGGGGTGGAACTGCATGCGGACCCTGCCACTCGGGGCTTCAATGGCGTTCCCCATGGGGCCACGACACGAGTGAACGGTGCGCCGAAATTGGGGTGGACCTGCATGCGAACCCGGCCACTGGGGCCTTCGGTGACGTGTGAGGGGTGCACCCGAATCAAAGTGGACTTGCATGCGGACCCTGCCACTGGGGCCTTCGTTGGAACACCCTACGGCGCCACGAACCGTGTGAAGGGTGCGCGGAAATGGGGGCGGAACTGCATGGGCCCCACCACTGGGGCCTTCGGTGGAGCACCCTGTGGGGTCAAGAAACGTGTGATGGGTGCGCCGGAATCGAGGTGGAACTGCATGCGGACCCTGCCATTGGGACCTTCGGTGGAGCTCCCTACGGGGTCACGAAACGTGTGAGGGGTGCGCTGCGAACCCCGCCACTGGAGCATTCGGTGGAGCACCCTATGGGGCCACGAAACGTGTGATTGGTGCGCCGCTGCATGCGGACCCTGCCACTGGGGCTTTCGGCCACCAAACGTGTGAGGAGTGCGCCGAAATGAGGGTGGAACTGCATGCGGACCCTGCCACTCGGGGCTTCAGTGGAGCATCCGATGGGGTCACGAAACGTGTGATGGGTGCGCCGAAATGAGGGTGGAACTGAATGCGGACCCTGCCTCTGCGGCCTTTGGTGAAATCCATATGCGGACACCAACCGTGTGAAAGGTGCGCCAAAAAAAGGGTGGCACCGCCATGTGGACCCTGCCGCTGGGGCCTTCGGTGGAGATCCCTGAGGCCACGAAGCGTGTGAAAGGTGCGCCGAAATGGGGGTGGGACCTGCAGGCGGACACTGCCACTGGGGCCTTCGGTGGAACACCCTTTGGGGCAACGAACCGTGTGACGGGTTCGCGGAAATGGGGATGGCACTGCATGCGGGCCCTGCCACTGGGGCCTTCGGTGGAGCCCCCGATGGGGCCACAGAGCGTGTGATGTGTGCGCCGAAATCGAGGTGGAACTGCATGCGGACCCTGCCACTGGGGCCTTCGGTGGAACATGCTATGGGGCCACGAAGCATGTGAATGGTATGTCAAAATCGATGTGGAATTGCATGCGCCGATTTGACGGCGATGAGGACATGCGGAGGGCAGGGGCAAGGGATGGGTGGAGGGAGGAGGAAAGGGAAGAGGAGGAGAAAGGAGCGGCACCGCCATGTGGACCCTGCCACTGGGGCCTTCGGTGGAGATCCTTGTGGGCTTACGAACTATGGGAATGGTGCGCCCAAATGGGGCGGCACCGCCATGTGGACCCTGCTACTGGGGCCTTCGGTGGAGCTCCCTATGAGGCCACGAACCGTGTGAGGGGTGCACCGAAATGGGGCGCCGCCGCCATGTGGACCCTGCCGCTGGGGCCTTCGGTGGAGCTCCCTATGTGGGAGCGAAAAGTGTGAGGGGTGCGCCAACGTCGGGCGGCGCCGCTTTGCGGACCATGTCGCTGGGGCCTCCGGTGGAGCTCTCTACGGGGCCACGAGGCGTTGCACTGGGTGTGCCGGAACACAAACATGCGGAGGGCAGGGGCAGGGATGAGAGGATTGAGGAGGTGGAGGAGGAAGGAAGCAGGAAAGAACGCGGGACGGCGTCTCTTCAAAACGAGGACCGTGACACCACAGGATGGTCGGGAAGTATTGTAGCCACCTGACTTTGTTCTTAGCCCCTCTGTAGTGGTCGCTACAGGCGCTGCTCCCTCTCTCGCTTCCCCAGCCCCTTTCCCTGAGAGAGCGCGATCCACCGTTGCTGGTCCGACGATTTTCTCCAAGGGTGCGGTGAGAAACCAGGGGACCCCTCCCCCTCTCTGCACAAAACTCAGAAGGGAGCCTCAGAAACCAGCCACCAAACTGCCTCCACGAGGCCCCTGAGAGGCCTCCCACGACATACCACCGAACATCCTGGGTGCCTATGACCTACAGCCCGGGCGCGGTGGCGGGATGGGCCGAAGGCCATTCGATCCGCCGCCCCCTTTTGATTTATCAAAGGGGTGCCTGGCGTGCCGAATCCTATCGTTTTGGTTCTTTTTCCAAAAGAACTCCCCCTGGGGCTTCGGCCCGTCCCGCTGGGGTCCCGGGATATTTCCGAAAATTCACCCGTCGATGCCTTTGTTGCCCCAAGTTGGCCCCAGATGGCCTCCAAGA